TATACCTTGTTTTTATACTTTTCTACTGGATGGTTAAGACCAAGATAAAGCAAGACCTATATACCAAGAAATGTAACTTTTGTATCTGATAAGGTCAGTCAAGTACCCTCAGGATTTATCTTGCAACCCTGTACTGCACTTTGCAGATCCTTTGTCAGTGTCAGCCATGTGGTTGAGTCACAGCCATTGCTTGACCAATTTGCTCTCTGTGAAAGCCTGAAAGAATGTTTTCTCTCCATGTGACTCTCTTTAGGCACACTCTACATTATTGATCATGTTGCTCTGTGGCCCCATAATCTCCTTGATCAGAAAATTTGGGACACAACTGAGTTATAGGATGTTATAGTACAGTTCTCCTATGTCCTTAGTCTTCACTGACCTTGAATGGCTGGGTCACAATGTTGGCTGTCCTTGCAGCCCTTCTATTTCTCTAATTTTTGGTCTCAAAACTTAGGTTGTTAACCCTCTAGAAGAGATGATTATTATTACCCTACAACATATGCAGTTGGGTTTAACTTCACTGTCTGAATATCAAACATCTTAGGCATAACATGAAACAGGTATTTTCCATCAAGTATTAATATGTTAAACTTTAAGTCCTTATAGAATATGGAGATAAAAATTTAAAACATGAAAAATATTTAAAGAATATGAATAAACAATTACATATTTTTACACAGAAATTTAGAAATCTAACCATATACAGCATTGTGGCAGGGCAGTCTAGTGACATTTTTTTCTTGTGTCTTTTTTTCATTTCATAAAAAAACCCTTTACTTGAAAGAGAGTATGATAATAATTGGTATGTCATGATAAGAAGTACATATTTAGAAGACCAGAATGACAAGTATTGCAAATGTGGCCCTTCTATTACACATTGCTATCTTCAGTGTAGTTGCTTAGTTCACAGGTATCAGCATGTATACATTCTCACCCAGCAGTCAGGGTGAGAATCCTACCAATTAAGTGCTAGTTTCAAAAGCCTGCGATGTTTCTCAGGATCATTGCCTTACCCATCTTGTGCATAATTTCCTGTTTTAAAACACTCACGAACTCTACAATTCCAGGAAGACACTCCTTCATACGGCCCACAGCTCCCATGTTTTGGTTTACTTCTATTACTCCATTTCTGCCTTTTTGCAATTCTAATGCAAAGATACCCTACTAAATTCTTTTTTTTTTTACTTTTATTTATTTTTTTTCTACAGTTTTATTGATAAACATATAGCAATGAGACAGTTTCAAATCAAATTGGAAGTACAGTTTCAACAAATAATAAACTGCATATATTATTCTTAGTGGTTAATTGCTGTACAAGATGCGGACTTGTGATCCTATTTACAAACACCA